AATAGTAAAGTCTTGGAAGCGGGGAAAAGAACTACTCACTAAAGATTGGAAAAGAAAATTCCAATGACATAAGGGGAGGAAACAAGAAGAGTTTGTTAGAAAATGGAGACTTGCCTTTGAATATTTAAAAAAAGAAGACAAAAACAGATTTTGAAATAGCCGCATGGGGAATTTATTAATGTAATGATAAGGATATAGTTTTGTTAAATACTAGAATGTGGTCTTGCAAGTCTTGGGTGGAAGTTCCCAGGTGGGAACAGAGGATGGGATTAGGGAAATAATCTTTGATTGCTGAATTTTGTAGATTGTATGTATTTTTTCACATAACACAATACAATTTTATTTTTAAAAGCAAATTAGAAATGAAACCATAGACAGCAGTGATCTTCTGTCTGTGAATTTCAAATCACAGTTTCAACCAAAGTTTCTGTGATATTCACACAAGAACAAAGTTTAAGTTTAAGAATATTTCCCTTGAAGAAAAAAGAGGAAAAACAATACCCATGCTTTAATCTTTTATATGATCTCACAACAGCTACAATTTTATACACAAAAACAAAGTATGTTAGAATATTCCTCAATCCAATAAATCTTCTGCTTGAAAACTCTTTCATTTTGCTTTCCAAAATATTTGTTGTGTCATTACTAATATTGTCTTATTGCTGCCTCATTACTGGTCAGTGGTGCTAGAACAATATCATACGAAAACTGACTGGCACAACCTGGGGATCACAACCAGACACAGTGAAGACATCTGCCCTTGCGCTATGCTACTCTGCTGCTGAGTATGCATGCCCAGTGTGGAACACATCTCATCACGCTAAAACAGTAGATGTGGCTCTTAATGAGACATGCCGCATTATCACGGCGTGTCTGCACCCTATACCACTGGAGAAATTACACTGTTTAGCCGGTATTGCACCACCTGACATCCACCGGGAAGTAGCAGCCAATAGTGAAAGGACCAGGCAGAGACATCTCCAGCTCATCCCTTGTTTGGGTATCAGCCAGCACGTCAACGACTTAAATCAAGAAATAGTTTTCTAAGATCTACAGAGTCACTCGCTGGAACACCTCAGCAAGCGAGAGTCCAAAAGTGGCAGGCTCAAACCCAGAACCTCAACCAATGGCTGATACCAAATGAGAGACTCCCCCCTGGGCACACAGAGACTGGGCGACTTGGAAGGCGCTGAACAGACTGCACTCTGGCACCACGAGATGCAGAGCCAACCTTCAGAAATGGGGCTACAAAGTGGAATCCACGACATGCGAGTGTGGAGAAGAGCAAACCACTGACCACCTGCTGCAATGCAACCTGAGCCCTGCCACATGCACAATGGAGGACCTTCTTGCGGCAACACCAGAGGCACTCCAAGTGGCCAGATACTGGTCAAAGGACATTTAATCAACTACCAAGCTTGCAAATTTTGTGTTTTGTCCGTTTGTTTTGTTCTGTTAGAAATGTAATACAATTATCTGGTTGCCCCCAACACAATAAAATAACTGGTCAGAGTCAGCCACAAACTTCCTAAGTAGTCCTAATATTTACTAAAAGCCTTTCAAACCTCTATAGCAATATGAATAGTTTGCCAAGACATCTCCTTCTTTGTTCTTTTTAATTTTATTTTGGTTATTTTATTTTATTTTATTGTTATTTCTGTACTGGCTTCAATAAAGATCGACTGAGATATTTAAGGTATCATATGACTACTGTAGTAATCTTATTAGAGTTTATTTTAAGTTAAGACAATGGCAATAGAATTTACTTGAACTGATCATCTTAAAGAGTAGCAAACAAAGGAGATTGATGGATGCACAAAAGTAATCATACAGTTCTATTCATTATATTGAATTATGCCCTTTTCTGTAACCACAGTGTTTGTATGGGAGGTTTACAGGTATGTTTATGACACAAGGAAAACCAACAGATATTCCCCAACTCATTAATTTTCTGGTGCTTGTGGCATAAACCTACTCGGAGTCAGCTGCAGGATATGCTAAATTTCTTACTTTCAATATTTTGGTAGATTGCTACAGTTTAGGACTTGAAGTAACATCTTCTCTGGTTATTTGATCACACATAGAGGTAGAGACATCAGACTGGCAACAAAGATCCGCCTAGTCAAAGCCATGGTATTCCCTGTAGTAACCTACGGATGTGAGAGCTGGACCTTAGGGAAGGCAGAGCGAAGGAAGATCGATGCTTTTGAGCTGTGGTGTTGGAGGAAAGTTCTGAGAGTGCCTTGGACTGCGAGAAGATCCAACCAGTCCATCCTCCAGGAAATAAAGCCCGACTGCTCATTGGAGGGAAGGATACTAGAGACAAATTGAAGTACTTTGGCCACATCATGAGGAGACAGGAAAGCTTAGAGAAGATAATTATGCTGGGGAAAATGGAAGGAAAAAGGTAGAGAGGCTGACCAGGGCAAGATGGATCGATGGGATCCTTGAAGTGACTTGATTGACCTTGAAGGAGCTGGGGGTGGTGTCAGCCGACAGGGAGCTCTGGCGTGGGCTGGTCCATGAGGTCAGGAAGAGTCGGAAACGACTGAACGAATGAACAACAACAACAGAGGTAGACATGTGGCAACAACGAAGTAAATGTTATTGAGTTTGGTACTTTCATATTAAGAGCATTTCTTGAAATCCTACTAAATATCTACATCAATTTTATTTCATTGTTTATGTCATCTTCAAATTTGCTCACATTAAGAAAAAGCTACTCCTTCTAAAGGAACCATTTGCAAGGAGGACCACTAAGACTAAAAGGTATACATTCAGCTAAACTTGTGGTTTATATCTATGAGGTTTGTTAGCAAGTTGTTTCACTACTTTTAATGAAATTGTAAGAAAAACAATGTTTTTAGTGGTTTGGAGCTAATGGCAACAGACTCCCAATGAAGCAAAGCACTTGGGAAAACAAATTTTAACAAGTGAACAGATTAATTGATTCAACATGACATGCTTAGTGTATTTTAACATGCTTAATGTACCTTGCTAAGTAACAGCATACACTGCATTGAGTTTCCTAAACAAGTAAAGCTAAGTATGAATGACTGGGCAGTATCAGAAGTATTTAGGGCAATAAAAATGAAAATAGAGTATGAAACATCTGAAAACATCTCTCCAAATTGGTAGTATTTAAAATGGCAAATGGGGTTCAAATTGAGCAAGTGCAAAGTGGTGCATATTGAGGCAAAAAAAAAAACCTTTACATAGAAATCTGAACTTGTGGCCTTTGGGATTTGACCAAGAGGAAAAGAGTGCTCTCCAGGGTGGATTAAATGTGTTTCCTTTTTTGCCACTTAGATAGCTGCTAGAAAAGATGTTGTGTTTTGAAGATTTTGCTGGTTAATTCCTCTTAAAGTGTTTTCTTGTAAAGTAATATCTTTATCTGACTCATTTCAGATTTTGTAGATTTCTCCTTTTTATCATTTTGTGGTTTTATTCACAAATGTATGGCAGGAAGGATGACTTAAAAACACATTAAATCTATGCATATAATAAAAGTGAAAATATGTATCTATATATGTGTGTCTATGTATGTGTGTGTGTGTGCGTGCATGTGTGTGTATTTTCCAGGATGGCTCCCACACCAATCTCATTGATGATGGATCTGTACCAAACTTGGCACACGGACCCATCATGGTCAACTTAAAATATTAAGTGTTTGAAGGGATTGACAAGGATGATGGTCATTGTAGTCCACCCACATTCTGTGTGACTCCTACCAATGATGGATCTGGCACAAACTTGTCAGACATACCCATCATAAGCAATCTAAAATATGGGTAAGGTTTCAGGGGGGATTGACAGAGGATTTCTAATAAATAGCATTACAAAACATCTAACCCAAGTAGTGCCAGGTACCTAAGATAGTAAACAAATAAAGAAATGAGCGAGGAAAATTACTTTGACTGATATTATTAGTACTTGTGTCATCTATAACAGTAGTAACCATGTAATTTTGACTTGACTGAGAAATAATTAACTAAGCATCTATCTATCTATAAATGCTCTGTTTGTTTTGAGTGACATCATAACTCAAAAACTGCTGGACTAATTGCCACCAAATTTGGCCACAAGACACCTAATAACCCATGGAGCGAACATCACTCAAAAATTGATTTTGTCATTTGTGAGTTATAGTTGCTGGGATATATAGTTCACCTACAATCAAAGAGCATTCTAAACTCTGCCAATGATGGAACTGAATCAAACTTGGCACACAGAACTCCCATGATCAACAGAAAACACTAGAAGGGTTTGGTGGGTATTGACCTTGAGTTTGGGAGTTGTAGTTCATCTACATCCAGAGAGCGCTGCAGACTCAAACAATGAAGGATCTAGACCAAACTTGGCACGAATACTCTATATGCCCAAATATGAACACAGGTGGAATTTGGGGAAATATACCTTGGCATTTGGGAGTTGTAGTTGCTGGGATTTATAGTTCACCTACCATCAAACAGCATTCTGAACCCCACCAATGATAGAATTGGGCCAAATTTCCCACACAGAACCCCATGACCAACAGAAAATACTGTTTTCTGGTAGTCTTTGGTGAGCCTTCTGACACCCCCTTGCAATCCTTACCCCAGGGGTCCCAACCCCCAAGTTGAGAAATGTTGCCTTAAGTTCATCCAGTCCAGCTCCCTTCATCAGAGCAAGAAAACATAATCAAAGCCCTCCTGTCAAAGAGCCATCCAGCCATAGATACAGATAGATCTGATTCACACACACATACATGTCTATGACAGATAAAGTATCATAGATTTGAAAGGGACCCCCAAAGAAGGACAATGATGTGTTGCATGTTCCAGAGGTAGGCAAAACAGACAATCTCTACATACTCACTGACAAAGAAACAAGAAATACTTTTTACTCACAAGCATAAAGAAATAATACATATGTGAAACCAACACTTTTAATTTTCCAGATCACCAGACTGGACCACAGCAACGCGTGGCAGGGGACTACTAGTATTAATATAAACTTACTTTTTTTCACAGTCATTCCTTGCACAGCAGATGGGTTTGTAGGTTTTAGCACAGGAAGGGAAGATGTCTTGTCAATCACTTTGATGGATATATCCGTGGCCCATGGAGTTTCCTCAGTTTTGGCTGATGACCAGGAAGTGTCCCCACGAGCATTTGTCAAAGTTCTTTCATCAGTAGAATTAGTTTTCAGTGCTGGAGCTTGAGAGACAAGCTGTGTAGCTCCTTTACGTATACTAAAGTTTTTATGCATTTGGTCAACATGAAAGATTGGGTTTGTTGTCCAAGATGGTGGCTGTATTTTGTTGTCCACTGAAGGAACAACATTTAAGCTACTTCCTGTCATGTTTGGAAGAGGAGTGTCAGATGTTTCAGTGTCACCATCAGTGCCAAATATGTCACTTCCATTTGAATAAAAGCATGCTTTTCCCAACACACCTGAATGGAAGCAAAAGAATAAAACATAATTAGACCACTAGACAAAATTAATTCAACATCCTTGAAAAAAAAAATAAGAGATGGCATCTGGAAACTATTGATATAAAACAAAAGAAGACAGAGGTTTGCAGAGGTATAATAATAATAATAATAATAATAATAATAATAATAATAATAATCTTTATTTATACCCCATCACCATCTCCTCAATGGGGACTTGGAGTGGCTTACATGAGGCCAAGCCCAAACAACAATTTACAATAAAATAAAACTGAAAACACAAACCAAAAACGCAAACAATAAACAACAAAACATAATTAAATAAAACATGTGAATACATAGCAATATAAAAATTACAATAGGCACAATCACAATGACAATGGGCGGGCTACATGTAATGATTAAAAGAAAAACTGATTAAGACTAATTAAAAATTCGGACGAGGTTACATTCCAAAATACACTTTATTTACCAAAATACACTTTATTTATATTTCACTTTATCTCCCCAGAAGGACTCAGAGAGCATTACAGTATAAACCTATAAGGTAAACATTCAATGCCTTTTTTACACAATGAACAACAATGACACGCAATATACAAACAAAGGTAAAGGCCCTCTCCTTCCATCTCTGGCGTCTGGAGGCGATGGTCAACTACAGCCATGGGGAGGTGGTCTTGTTCCATTTTTTCATCCCAAGGAGCCTGTTGTCCATAAACATCTCCAGCATGTCTGCATGTGTTGCTGGCACATCTGCATGAGGCACCCTTCTACCTTCACACCTATTGATCTACTCACATTACATGCTTCCAAACTGCTGGCAGAAGCTAGGGCTGACAGCAGGAGCTCACTCCAACTCACAGCTTCAAACTGCCAACCTTCCAGTCAGCCGATTTCCTGCAGCTAGCAGTTTAACCTGCTGCCCTACCGCTGTTACATAGCTAGAAATAGTTTTCCTTCCATTGTATAATTTACCAGTCTTCATATTACCAGTTGTATCTTTTAAAAGGCCCTTTGTAGTTCCATATTTTGCTGCATATTTTCCTATAATAACATATAAATACGAAATAGACATTGCTTTCTATGTAAAGCATTGTGCAATTTAAAGTTCAACCCTATAAACAGATTTGCGAGCTTTGTGGGTTCCTATGTTTGTACTCGCAATACTTTATTTCAAAAATACAATCGACATTCTATAATAGCACATTATTTTTCCAGCCTATAAATACAGAAGATCTAGCTGAGTGTGAATGCTGTTTTTGAATGCAGAGGGAATTCCACAAGGCTCAACGTGGGGTTTATTTCTGCTAGCTCTACCCACCAGTGTGAGCCTACTGGTACACATGCAGGCAGCAAGAGGAAACAATGCTTCCATGCATACCTCCTTTACCCCTATGAAGCCCCCCAACTGTGTGTAGCTGCAAGTTTCTTGTGATCTCCATGGAAAATAATCTGAATGGTAGATAGAAGGAGGGCTGTTTGAGGACAAGAAAGAATTCTTATTGCCTACAATGTTCCCCTGCATAAGTGCTAGAAGGAAACTGGAAAACAAAGCCCCGTTCGAATCTTGATTTTGACCTACATTTTATTTTTTATTTGAAATCCAGATTTTTCCAAGAAATAGGACAAATTTGCTCTGTTTCTGCAAAAAGAAAAATGGATTTTCACAAATAAAAATACTTTCTGCACAAAAATCTGACACACCACAGCAGCTCTACATGATCCCTACATGGAATAGCTACATTGAAGAATGCATGTCAATGACTGGGTGGGTGCCACTGCACAATATACAACCACAATGTATACTGTGAAACTTGCAATGACTAGGCACAGATGAGCATGCTTGTTTGAACAACTCCACTTACACTACTAACTGCAGAAAATGTTTGCGGTTGCATCTCCCTCTACGAACCAGTGTAGAGTCTAAGATCCACTGGGGAGGCCCTTCTCTCGCTCCCACCACCATCATTATCGCGGTTGGTGGGGATGAGGGAGAGAGTCTTCTCGGTTGTGGCCCCCCGCCTCTGGAACACCCTCCCCAGGGAAATAAGACAGGCCCCATCCCTCTCCTCTTTTTGTAAGAGCTTGAAGACTTGGTGGTTTCACCAGGCCTTCAAAAATGATTAGTATGAGTTCCAGCCCCTGGCCACTAGTTAGAATCTGGCCCTTCACCTCCACCTATTACCCTGATCAGTTCTCCAATTGGCTCAGGATATGAGCATCTAAAGGCCTCGTTACTACTATTGTTGAGCCTGGTTATTGCACTTTACCCATTCCCCTGGCCCCATATGGCTTACTTTGCACTAGCCCCGGCTTGACCATCCCAATTTGCCTAGGTCCTTTCTGAAATTCCGGCCCTAACAGTTTAATCTTGGCACGAAGAATAAGGTGAGGTTGGTTTCATTACATATATGTTGTGCTGACAATTTTATGATTATGTATTATTTGTTTTGTTTTGTTTTGCTTACTTTGTATGGTTTTGTGTTTTTATGATTTGGAAACCGCCCTGAGTCCCCTAGGGGAGATAGAGCTGTATATAAATAAATTATTATTATTATTATTATTATTTGTATAATCATGAACAGTTATTATTATTATTATTATTATTATTATTATTATTATTATTATTATTATTATTATTTGTACAATAATGACATGCATTTGTATGTCCCTAAAAATGAATTCCAGCCAAAGTATTTCTAATTTTGTAGCATTCAGATCTACAACTTGCTCCTGAAACAAACCATTAGAGCCTGGTTGGAAGTAGGCCTGTGCGGTTTCGTTCGTTAATTTCGTAATTCGTTAAACATTCGTTAATTTTTGCATTTACGAAACGATAACAAACCATATTTTCAAACCTGGAAGGGTTTTTAAATATCGAAACGGCAACCCCCACAGTTTTAACGAGCTTTCGCTCGTTTCGTAAATGGGGCGGGCAGGGGCGAAGGGGCAGCGCGAGCGCGCACCCAGTGAGCCAAGCCCCGCGCCTGCCTGTTGGGCGCGAGCGCGGCTCCCGATTGGCCGGCCCGCGCGCGCTCGCCCTTAGGCTGAGGCCCTCTTTGGCAGGAGCCTCCTCCCTGCCCCTCTGCTGCTCCGTGGCTCCCAGCTTGGGGAAGAAGGAGGACGGAGGAGCAAAGGGGCGAGGGGGAAGCGGCTGCCGCTGAGGCTCCTGCCGAAGAGGGCCTCAGCGGCGGCAGCTTCCCCCTCGCCCCTTTGCTGCTCCGTGCTCCTTCCTCCCCAGGCTGGGCGCCACGCTTGGGCCAGCCTGGCGAGGAAGGGACCCTTTTAGCCAGGGAGCAGCAGAGGGGCGAGGAGGAGGCTGCTGTCGAAGAGGGCCTCAGCAGCGGCAGCTTCCCCCTCCGCCCCTCTGCTGCTCCGTGGCTAAAGGTTCCCTTCCTCCCCGGGCTGGGCTCCCAAGCCTGGCGCCCAGCTTGGGGAAGAAGGAGGACGGAGGAGCAAAGGGGCGAGGGGGAAGCTGCCGCCGCTGAGGCCCCCTTCGCCAGTAGCCTCCTCCTCGCCCTCAGCGGCAGCAGCTTCCCCCTCGCCCCTTTGCTGCTCCGTGCTCCTTCTTCCCCAGGCTGGGCGCCAGGCTTGGGAGCCCAGCCCCGGGAAGGAAGGGAATTTTTAGCCACGGAGCAGCAGAAGGGCGAGGAGGAGGCTGCTGGCGAAGAGGGCCTCAGCGGCGGCAGCTTCCCCCTCGCCCTTCTGCTGCTCCGTGGCTAAAGGTTTCCTTCTTCCTCAGGCTGGGCTCCCAAACCTGGCACCCAGCTTGGGGAGGAAGGAGGACGGAGGAGCAAAGGGGCGAGGGGGAAGCTGCCGCCGCTGAGGCCTTCTTTGCCAGCAGCCTCCTCCCCGCCCCTCTGCTGCTCCGTGGCTAAAAGGGTCCCTTCCTTCCAGGCATCCTTCTACTAAAAAGAATTTTAACGAATCAATTCGTTATACCCTTAACGGATCGACCCCCGCGCCAATAACGAAGCTTCGGAAGTGTTTTTGCGCATGCGCGGGGGTCCGCCATCTTTACAAAATGTTTTGTAAATATTTACGAAATTTCGTAAATACCGAAACTTTTTTTGGGAAAATTTTGTAATTATTTTAAATATCGAAACAAAAAAACACCCCAATTACAAATCGATTTTAGAACCAAATTTTTTCTTGATCAACCAGCCCTAGTTGGAAGTCTTTAGCTTTATTTCAAATTAATACTAAATCTGACTCATCCAAGTACAGAAGGAAAACTTGAATCATGTCCTGATTAGTTTCAAGACACAGTGAGTTTTTAAATATAATCCCCCACATTCCAATAACAAGTATCCTGAATGTGAAGATCATGTGTTGTACAAACATAGACTGTAAGGTGACCCATGAGGTAGGACATATAGAGCCTGTAATATGACATTTTCCTTTCCTATTAAGATAAACATTACTATCTCAAGAATGCATTACTATCTCAAGCAGCCTTCAATACCATAGACCATGGTATCCTTCTGAGGTGCCTCACAGGAATGGGACTTGGAGGCACTGTCTTGCAGTGGCTCCGGTTCTTCCTGGAGGGTTGTTCTCAGAAGGTGTTGTTGGAGGACACCTGCCTTTGTCCTGTGGGGTCCTGCAGGGTTCAGTATTGTCTCCCATGTTGTGTAACATCTACATGAAGCTGCTACAGGAGATCATCTGGAGTTTTGGAGTTTGATGCCATCTGTATGCAGATGACGTCCAACTCTGTCACTCCTTTCCACCTGCTACTAAGGAGGATGTTCAGGACCTGAACCAGTGCTTGGCAACTATGACAGTCTGGATCAGGGTAAAAAAATGAAATTGAATCCAGACAAGACAGAGGTACTTCTGGTCAGTCAAAAAGCCGAACAGGGTACAGGGTTACAGCCTGCGCTGGATGGGGTTGCACTCCCCCTGAAGACAGGTTCGCAGCTTGGACGTCCTGGATTCTTCACTGAACCTGGAACTCCAGGTTTCAGATGTAGCCAGGGATGCTTTCACACTATTAAAACTTGTGTGCCAGCTGTGCCCATACATTGAGAAGCCAGACTTGGCCACAGTAATCCACACTTTTGTTACATCTCAAATAGACTACTGCAATACACTCTAGCCTTTGAAGACTGTTTGAAAGCTCCAAGTAGTCCAACGGACTGCAGCCAAATCACTCACTAGAGCAGCATACAGGGAGCATACAACCTCCCTGTTATGTCAGCTACACTGGCTGCCAGTCTGCTATGAAGAACAATTCAAAGTGCTGGCTTTAGCTTCTAAAGTCGTAAAAGGCTCCGGCCCAACTTACCTGTCTGAACGTATTTGTCCCTATGAATCAGTTAGAGAGTTAAGATCTGCCAGCGGGGGGGCCTACTTTTGGTCCCACCCCCTTTGCAAATGCGACTGGTGGGGACAAGAGAGAGGGCCTTCTCAATGGTGGCCCCTTGGCTATGGAACTCCCTCCCCAGTGATATTAGACTGGCCTCCTCCCTCCTGGTTTTCAGGAAAGACCTGGCTATGGAATCAGGAGTTTGGGGAATAGTGCAATATGGAATCGGCATGAAGTAGCAACACGAATGACGACTCCAGGACTAGGTGACATGTTTTTAACAGTTTTATTGTATTTATATATTTTATCTGTATTATTGCTTATTTGTTTTATTGTTTTGTGATGCATTGTATTGAATATACAGCATTGAATATTGCCAACTGTAAGTCACTCTCACCACTTCAGGGTGAGAGAGAGTGGGATAGAAATATAGTAAATATTTCTATCCCACAAGTTGCAAAAAGTTGCATTTAACACTTACATCTTATTATCAAGTTAAAGTATTGATAAAGTTCAGTGTGTTTCTCTCTTTATCCTCAGGTGCACTCTATAATACTCACCCACAAATGTTAGAAGGATCACCAGCAAAAGTATAAGAGCGCAGATGCACGGAATTAGTACCAGCAACAAGAATCGAAAGTATTTGCCAGACATGAGTTTCTGAGAACAGCCATCCTCCATATTATCTTCATCTATTACAGTAACCTGAAATACATAAAGGCAGAGTTTTAACATTCCTGAGCGAAAATAATAACTGTGTCACACTAAAGCCAAATATCCTCCATTAAACAATGTTATTGTTATTATTTTAATACTGTATAGACAATTTGGTATACTTGTTTGTACAGCGCTCCAGAATTAATTTTCTAGATGAATGTACAATTTGTAAATGTCTACAATAAATTAAAATGAATATTTATTTTACAAAGTACAGAAATATATTGTATGACTAGCTGTCCCCTGCCATGCGTTGCTGTGGCCCACATGGGGGTTCTGTGTGGGAGGTTTGGCCCAATTCTATCATTGGTGGGGTTCAGAATGCTCTTTGAATGTAGCTGAACTATAAATCCCAGCAACTACAACTCCCAAATGTCAAGATTCTATTTTCCCCAAACTCTGCCAGTGTTCACATTTGGGTATACTGAGTATTCGTGTAGAGTTTGGTCCAGATGCATCATTGTTTGAGTCCATGGTGATCTCTGGATGTAGGTGAACTACAACTCCAAAACCAAAGGACACTGCCCACCAAACCCTTCCAGTATTTTCTGTTGGTGAAGGGAGAACTGTGTGTCACGTTTGGTCCAATTCCATCGTTGGTGGGGTTCAGAATGCTCTTTGATTGTAGGTGAACTATAAATTCCAGCAACTACAAGTCCCAAATGACAAAATCAATTTTTTGAGTGAAGGACATACATTGGGTTGTTGGTGTCAATTTGTCCAGTGGTTTTTGAGTTCTGTTAATCCCACAAACGAATATTACATTTTTATTTATATAGATTAAAAAACACACACTTGCAAGGAAAGACATTGTTTTGAATCTGTGTTTCCTTTAGGTAGGAAAAAAACATTTTGAAATGTATATAAAACAAGCTAGTCATTCTTTTGTCTCAAAAGACTGGAAAAGCAGGCCTAAAATGATTTTTTTCAAAGAAGTGTTTAATGCATGTATTGTGGGTTATTTTTAAAGAATCTATATTTGTTCTTGGGATTTCTTCCTAAGACTCAAGCGTAAATACTAAGCCTTTTATAAGATCATTTAAATAGTAAAGTTATTAATTCCAGACTGTGTGTCTTTTCTGAATGTGCTTCATCAGCGAGCAATCAGCTTCTTAGCCAAGAAAATCCTTTACATAAAACTAGGCTTCTATTACACTAAACTCTACTCACTAGATGCCAGCAGTAGTTAGGATAAAAGAAGCAATCTACTCATTTGCCCCTCCCAAAAAAAACCAGCCCATCAAAAGCAAGTTAAGGTTATCTTGAGCAGATCAAGTTCTATATCATTTGCTTTAGCTATTTGATTGTCTTGTAGAACAAACCAATCATAGGGACTTAATTAGTTCATTAAATATAATTTTGCCATGTTCCAGCCATCTGCTAACTCAAATCAATGCCTCTCCTTTCATTCTATACAGGCGTGAATTACTCTACTATTTCTTATACAGTACTGCTTTGAATCCAGGCATTCCCTCAAATATTTTCTGATCCTCAACAAAAACATCTGAGAACATTAAAGTTTATAAACAAAAGGATAATTCAATTTGGTATGGAACAGGAACGCCCCTCCTGGTATGAAAATCTGGTCGACACGAAAGAAGGCAGGAGCGGGTCCCGGCTCCTGGCCTGCTTTTTGGCATCACAGAGTAAGAGGCATTGGGATGCAGGTACTGTCAAGTGTGGGTGCTTTTTGGGCCTGCACGCCACACATACACACACTCTTTCCAAGGAGAGTGCATGTGTGGCATGCAGCGGCACCCACGCCTGCTAGTACCTGCAGCCAGGCACCACTAACTCTAAAGTAAGAGTCATTGGGATGCAGGCACTGGCAGTGAGGGTGCTCAGAGCCTGAACACCACACACACTCTCTTTCCATGGAGAGTGCATGTATGGTGTGCTGGAGCACGTGAGCCTGCCAGTGCCTGCAGCCAAGCACTCTTGAGGCAAGCACTGGCAACATGGGTGTTCTGGGCCTGCATAACACACATGCATTCTCTTTCCAAGGAGTGTGTGTGTGTGTGTGGCATGCAGAAGTGCCCATGCCTGCCAGAGTCTATAGCCAAGTGCCTCTTACTCTAGAGCAGGGGTCCTCAAACTTTTTAAACAGAGGGACAGGTCCCAGTCCCCCAAATTGTTGGAGTGCCAGATTATAATTTGAAGAAAAAAAACATGAATGGATTCCTATGCACACTGCATATATCTTATTTGTAATGCAAAACACTTTAAAACAATACAATAATTAAAATGAGGAACAATTTTAACAAATATAAAATTATTAGTATTTCAATGGGAAGTATGAGCCTGCTTTTAGCTGATGAAATAGGATTGTTGTTGTGCCGTCCGCCCAGACGCTATAAAAAATAAAACTTCGACGTGCCTTCCTCTATTGCTGAGCGAACTGCAGTTGTCTATCTTGAAATCTTAAAATACTAAGCAACTGAGACTAGTACTGGTTTTAAATATCGAAAAGAATATTTATTTACACGAAGTCCTTGAAGACTTGGCACAGATCATTAAGTTGCAATCAAACAGTCAATAAATGGACAATAAATGGAACTTTAGAAATATTCTTTCCTTTCTATAGTTACAGAGGCAACCCCTTTCTCCAGATGGCAGATAAGATTCTGGAATCTTAACACCCTAACTGCAAACTGTTGTGGTTTAGAAAGAAGCAGGTTCTTTCCCTATCTATAACTTAAAGTTAGTTCAGGAGACTAAGGAGTGCCAACTCTCTCTATAACTATAAACTCAATACACAGTACACTATCTATACTAGCTCAGTATAGCTCAGTCTATAAAGTAGGGGGTTAAAGTAATTTTTGCAATGGTTCTCCCAGAGCTAGTTGCATAGCCGTCTGCACGCCTGAAGTTCTTCCTCAAACTGAATAGGGCAGGGAGGATTCCAAAATGGAGGTTCTTCCCCGGGAGGGCTGCTCCCTAGACCAATCAAAGGGCTGCTCCCTAGACCAATCATTGCAAAAAGGCCTGCAGCAGCCTGGGAGAAATGCAAGAGGAAGACACCCTGAGCAATTAAAAGGTAATGCAAAAACAGTCTCCTGGAAGACGGAACAGTTGTTGTTGTTGTCGTTGTTGTGCTTTCAAGTTGTTTCAGACTTAGGTTGATCCTGAGCGAGGGTCGGGTGAATGACTTTGGAGGGCCCTATCCAGCCCCCGGGCCTTAGTTTGAGGACCCCTGCTCTAGAGTAAGAAGCGTTTGGCTGCAAGCACTGGTAGCGTGGGTGCTCAGGGCCTACAATGCATGCCCCCCACACACTCTTTCCAAGGAGAGAGTGTGTGTGGCGTGCAGGCCCAGAAAGTGACCACGCCTGCCTGTGACTGCAGCTGAACACTTCCTCTAGAGTAGACACAGTAGGTAAGAAGAAGCCTCCTTAAAGCGTGCACCAGGAAGGAGAGCCTGGGTCGGACCCCCCCCCTCCCCCAATAATGGTCCGATAGAAACTGATATTTCGGCACCAAAGAGCAAAAACTGATATCTGCCCTCCCAATTTTGGAGGCTCTCAAAAAATTGATTCGGGGCCCCCACTGAAACTCAGAGCATGAAACAGGTCAAGGTTTACCCTGAATGCACAACCCTAGTATTCATTGGTGGTCTGCCATCCAAGTACCGTAAAAACCGGGGTAATAGACGACTTTTTAAACCTTTAAAATCCTTTGAAAACTTGGGGGTCGTCTTGTCTTCCGGACATATTAGATGACGAATGGCAGTGGAGCCGAGGCAGCGGAGGAGAACATCCGCCCGCAGCGGCCTGCCCTCCGACCTCCTTCCTCACGCTGCCTCTTTCCTCACTGGGCCCAGCTGGGGCCCAACGGAGCGTCTGGCACCTTTCCCTCTTCTGTCCTCGCCCCGCAGATGCCTTCCTCGGCGGTGGAGGTGCACACGGGATGGGAGAGGAGGGAAAGATGCATCCTGCGCTGTCTTCTGCAGCTGGTGCACACCTTTCCCTCCTCTCTCATCCCGTGTGCGCCTGCCGAGGAAGGCATCTGCGGGGCGAGGACGGAGGAGGGAGACCTGCGCTGGTGAGCGCGCTCACCCCTGCTGCTTCTGGAGAGGCTTCCAGCATGTCTACAGGCTCCTGCAGCAGCGCGGCGTGGGCCAGACGCTCCGTTGGGCCCCAGCTGGGCCCAGTGAGGAAAGAGGCAGCATGAGGAAGGAGGCCGGAGGGCCGCCTTCCTCACGCTTCCTCTCTCCTTCCTGGACCCAATTGAGGCCAATGGAGCGTCTGGCCCTTCGCCTGCCCCGCTCTCTCGCCGATAGCGAGGGTGCAAGGTAGGCGAGGAGGCCTCCGCGCGAGGCCTGGCGTTGTGTAAGCCCTCCTCGCCCGCCCCGCTCTCTCGCCAATGGCCATCGGCGAGAGAACGAGGCAGGCGAGGAGAGCTTCCGCGATGCCAGGCCTCGCGCGGAGGCCTCCTGGCCTGCTTTGCACCGTCGCCATCGGCGAGAGAGCGAGGCAGGCCAGGAGGCCTCCGCGCGACGCCTGCCGTCCCAGAAGCCCCTTGTCGCCTGCCTCGCGCTCTCGCCAATGGCCTCCGCGCGAGGTGAATGGGGAAAGCAACAGCGTGAGAGGAGACTGAAGGGAAGAGAAGAGGTTGCAAGGCAAGCGAAAGAGCGAAGGAACAGGGACCCAGATAACCCAGTCCCCTTCCACACAGCTGAATGAAATCCCACATTGTCTGCTTTGAACTGGATTATCTGTGTCCACACAGCCAGATAATCCACTTCAGTGTGTATTTTATGCAGCTGTATGGAAGGGGACCCAGAGAACCCAGTCCCCTTCCACACAGCTGAATGAAATCCCACATTATCTGCTTTGAACTGGATTATCTGAGTCCACACAGCCAGATAATCCACTTCAATGTGTATTTTATGCAGCTGTATGGAAGGGGACCCAGAGAACCCAGTCCCTTTCCACACAGCTGAATGAAATCCCACATTATCTGCTTTGAACTGGATTTCTGAGTCCACACAG